GGACTAAACTGAAGCGTGCTGTAGACACATCTCGCTGACATATCTGTGTCTGGGGCCCTCACACGGAGCGCTGGAGGTGTTGCCAATCATCACACTGTACAGCACACACAGTCCAAACGCACTCAGACAACCTGAGCTGCTGCGTTCCAGCTGATCTGGAGTCAGACACACACACAGGATTGTGTTGTTTCTTATTTCTGTTGGCTTCAGGTTGCACCTAAAGTATTGGATTTTTAATCAGATGAATATCTTATAGCTACCTGCAGCTGAATACGTCTCATCTAAGTGCATCATTAATCAAACGTCGCACATCTTTATGCCTCAAAACTTCCTTTAAACCCTTTAGTTGGTGCATGTTGGTGATTCTGCACAATATATGTTCATCATACATCTGGTGTTTATTTCAAACACACACGTGTTTTTGTAAATTCCCCCAGTGAGAGATCAATAATCTTTTCTTATGTATTTCCTAATGCATGTTGCTTTTCTCAGAATCTCAAAGCTGCCGTCTTATTTCACACCATCATCTTTGCAGATTCGCTTCCAGACGTCTCGTTCCCTTCGTCTTTATTTTCCGTGCATCAGTTTACTTTTTGTTGTTGCAGCGACTGACCGGCCACATATTTATTATTATAGTTTAATCTCATCTCGTATGATCACATTCTCTGGTTTCACGGCTGCCACATTTTTCTCGGCGAGCTCTTCCAGCTCTCCCTCTCTTGTCTATTACTGCAGTATTCGGGGAACAGGCAGGCGGTGAGTCCAGGGCAGGCAAATCTCCATAAATCCTTCCACAGTGGCTACCCTCTTCAGACTCCGCCGTACAATATCTGTCTTCATCTGAGAGTGCACAGGCCCGGCCACCTGCTTTTCCTCTGTTCACCCTCTCCCTCCACGCTTTGTGAACTTAATAAAAGCTGCCATTAAGCAGCGCTTCATCTGTTTGGGCCCTAATCTGCCTTATAGGCATCATGTGACCACATATGCAGTGCACACCTGTCGTGTATGTTCCCATCCTCAACTGTTGCCTCTCCGCTGCTGCTCGCACTCTTACTCAACCTGTTCCTGGCACATCAACCGACTGCATGTCAGCGTTGGCCGCCGCACACGTTTGGCGCTCGCAGTCTGTATGACTTGGAGGTGTTTTTGTGAAAATGGCAGAAGGTACGCATCTGTGTCTTTTGTTTTAAATAAATAAATACATCCAAAAACAGTGACACTGAAAGCAGGCCTAAAGTTATTCAGTATGTTTTTATTTCACTGAGTGAAAAGCTCAATCTTTGCATAAGACATGCAGAAACAGAAGAAAAACATAAATATAGCACAATGAAGATGAACAGCACTGTATCCAAGTGGAAATAAGCAATATGACTAGAATGAATAGTAGTGCTGAGGGCAACAAATTCAAGTAGAGACTTTTTAAAAAATTGCTTCATTGTCTACTTTTCATATAAAATGTCTCATAAATCTCGCCAAATTGAACGCTAACGGGAGATGGCTTTTAGTCCAAAAGTGCAATATATTTTACAAAGTCTAAAATGTTGCTCTGTTTATCCACTACTCTGCAGTAAGCAGGCGGCTTTCATATTAGATTTTTTTTTTTTTCCCAGCAGTGGAAATACATCTCTGTTTATTTCCCCACCACTTTTTTATACCATCCTTTTTACTCTGTTAATTAAAACAGTAAAATGATCTGTCGTTTCGGCAGCAGCCTATGCAGGATTTGGAGGTCGTTTCCGTCTGGTTTTTGTGTAATATAATTTTCACGTTTATTCTTTTTTTTTTTTTTTTTCTGGTAGATTATATACAGGATACCAGCTGGCTGACAGATGGTGATGCCTTTACCCGTGTGTGTGTGTGTGTTTTTTTTCTTTTCTTTTTTTTTTTTTATTATTAAAAAAACATCACAAGGAAGAGAAGGAGGAAGGACAGGAACAGCTGTAGACGAAGGGACAGACAGAGTCAGCACACTGGCCACTGGGTGACATGAGGGAGTGGGAGGAGAACCCAGCACATGGCTCAAGGCGGAAAAAAAAAAAAAATAATAATAATAATAAATGTGCCCTGTTAACAGTGAGCAAGACACGGAGAGCCATCTTGTTAGCAGTAGCAGGCCTCTAAATCTCCCTAATGGTCCTCGGCTCTGATCTTGTTCTCGCACCAGAATGTCAAGAGTGAACAACGGGCGACCCCAACAACAAATATTGTTGATTCCTCTACCTGCATGATCGCAGATGTTTGGTTTTTTTTTTCTTCGAATTCTGTGACAAAAAATATTATAGCGGAACAAACCGGGAAAAAAAAAAAAGGCGCTGCCCAGGGTCATGAGGTTATGAATCGAAGCATCTCGAACCACAGGATCGGTCTCTCTCAGGGGGAGACACACGCACACGACAACACACAAGCGCACACACACTTCAGTAGTATCACTGACTGATAGAAAAAGAGACAAAGAAGCTGCTACCGCGACCTTTAAGCCCCGCCGCCGTCGTCCAGCAGCACCTCCAGCACGAGACCCCAACGGAGTCCCCTCAAGGCCGAAGCACTACCAAGCCACTACATGTGTCATAATAATTATAGTTTCTTTATTTTCAACTTTTTACAAATCCTGCTATTTTACACCCACACAGACACACATACACACACGCACACACACACAAACTGAATTCAAGTGCACAATGTCTCCCAGCCCCTACAGTTATTCTCCACAAATGATGAGAAAACAAAAAAAAAAAACAAAAAAACAAATGTAGTAATGCCTCTGCTTTGCAAACAGAGTCCCGGGAGACAGTTCAGTCTGTGAACGCAGCATGCCCACAGCAAAGTAAATACAAACCAAAGAGTTTCAGTTAATGAGGAGAAGAAAAAAAAGAAAAAAAAAAAGCACACAGAAAAATGACAATGAATAAAATGAGCTGATAAATAAAACAGAAACATCAATGAATGAATTCAAATCACTGTATTTTAGTTTGAGCTTCTAACAGAGTTTGGAAAAAAAAAAGAAAAAAATATATATACTGCAAATAACGGAATCTGCCGTTTGCTATAGTATGAACAACTTCTGGGGTAATTAAAAAAAAAGAAAGAAAGAAAGAAAAAAAAAGGTCACGCACACAAGCAAACTATGATGAGGCTACTTGAATTTTTAACTTTTTATTATTCATTTCTCCTTCTTACGGTTTTTCTTTTTAAAGGAAGCTGTTCATCAAAGAGCATTTTGTTCATATATAGTTATTTTTTTACAGAGGAAAATACTGTACAACCTTTTTTTTTTTTTCTTTTCTTCTCAAAACAATATCTGGAGTAATATCATCTACACACATTATTATTCCCTATATTATGATCATTTATTTCCAATGCCAAGCTCAGGAGATAACTCTCGATCAGTGTGTCCACTCCTCAGTCGTACATATTCGCTCAATAAAAACCAGAGGGTGGTTTGACAGATTTATAATTTAGCACTACAGTAAGTGAGCATCGCTATGAACTTCTTAAGAATTAATTTAAATCACAGTCCGTATTAGTGTTTCTTATCGGGGCACCGTTTTGTTTCTGGCGCGCCGCATTTCCTTTTTTTTCTTTTTTTTCTCTTTTTTTTTTTTTTTTTTTTTTCTCAAGCTGTCCAATCACAGAAAAAAATAAAGCAAAAAAATAAAAATAAAAATAAAAACCAGTCTTTTAAATAAATCACAGAAACAACAGATCTTTGTCACACTAACATCTATTTGTGCATTAAAGCAAAAGTGAACTAAAACAACATCTTTAAAGCAAATTCCCTGTTAAAAGATATATATATCATTCTTTTTTGTGTTTTTTTTGTTTGTTTGTTTGTTTTGTTTTCAGACGGTAAAAATGAACCTAAAAAGTGCAATAACACCCTAAAAATTTTTTTCTCATTGGAAGGTCACATAAATATTAAATAAAAACCATTACAACAGGAGCTCAACCACAGCCATAAGTGAGTGGAAAAAAAAACAAAATGCCGTTGAGACATTTTTCGGTCTGTACATTTTCAACATGAAACACACTCCCTTCCTCTAATCGTCGTCTCCCTCCCCCACCCCCACCCCACCAACCCCGACACCCTTCAATCGCTGCATCTGAGTGACTCATCGTTTCCTCCGGTCAGTTGGACTCTCCCGCCATCATCACCCGTTAATCACAACCTCGCCTGCTTTACAGATCGATATGCTTCTGACTAACAACACAACAACAACACCAACAAAAAAAAAGAAAAAAAAAAAAAAAAAAAACATTTTAATGCAAAGATGCAAATGGTAACAAAAATATTTGTTTTGTTTTTCTTTTTTAAATATACTCATGAGTCATCTATCGTCATGGTCAGCTAATATAAAAGTGCACTATCCAACGCACAAACTTGATTCCTCCACGGGGTGGGTGGGGGGTGGGGGGGGTTAAAAGTACAAGGGCTAAGCTTGGTTTTTGGTAGCTAGGTGAACACGTTTTCTAGCAGAATGTCAGAGAGAACCGTTGAGGCTGGCGGCGTTCTGTCGGACGCCTGACTGCAGCTGAGACTGACCAGACAGCTACTGGTCGCATCCATGTTTCATCGAGAACAAAGACACCGAAGAGACGGGAAGGAAGCCCTGTCCTCTCAGTGTCTAATAATAATAATAATAATAATAATAATAATAATACAGAAACAAAGATCTAATGTTTGAAACACATCCTCTTTCCCCTTTAGTGATTCATGTCCCTTTTTTCTTACGTATCCGCGGCCCTGCAGTTCACGTCGCCTGTGCCAGCATTTTTCCTTTTTGTATATCATCGTTCACACGCACACACACTTACATATAATAGTTATATAGAGAGATTTGTTTTTCTAACGTGGTTTTTTTTTTTTTTTTTCCACACACAAAAAAGTGAAAAAAAATGAAAAATAAATTAAATTCAAACATGCACGCACACAAAAAGACTGATGTGTAGTAAAATGCTTTACATTGCTGCCCCACGTGTAAAACAGGGCCTAACTCTGTGTGTCTCCGTTCATATTTTTTTAATGCATAATTGAATTAATAATGTTGGTCATCTTGTAAACATCATAATAAATCATTTCGGGCCGTCATTTTCTCCACGCTGTTGTTGTTGTTTTTTTTTTTTGTCGTCGTCTGAAGTCTCTAAACATGATAAATGAGGCCACTTTCATTTTTGTTTTTTTTTATAGTACACAGGATTTTTCTGCAGTTCCTACAGTCACTTTTTTTCCTTTTTTGTTTTTTTAAATTCATGGGTCTTGCTTTTCCAGTTGGGAAGTATCAGTGTGGTTAACGGAAGCATCAAAACTCTCGCCATTGTCCTTCTCGCCGTCGGGCTCCGCCATCGAATCATCGTTTGAGTCACTGTTGAGCTCATCTTCTGCCTCCTCCTCTTCCTCCTCCTCGTCATCGTCCTCTTCCTCGGCGTGTGCCTCCTCCTCCGGTGACAGGTCGTCCTCGGCCTCTCCGGATGTTCCCGTGGTGTCGTCCTGAGCCGCCGGCGGGCCCAGCGGGGGCGGTGCGGCGGCGGCGTGGACCGACCGCGCCGCCTCGTGGTGCATCTTCTTGCTGAGGTCCAGTGAGTCGCTGAGACCCAGACCAACGGCGTTCTTCAGGAAGAACAGGGAGCTGCTGGTGTCGGTGCCCAGGTTGAGGGAGCTGTCCAGGCTGATGGAGGACGGCGGGTACGAGTGGTTATAGTCAGAACCGATGCCACCTGGCGGGTAGAGCATGGAGGGAGCGCTGCTGTTAATGGTGTGGGACAACGTGTGGAGGACGCCGGGTGAGGAAGTGGAAAGGCCCAGGGAGGATGGAGGAACGGCCGCCACGTTGCCCTCCAAGTGGTGCGCCCTCTCCTGTTTGGGCGACACAGACGGCAGCTCGCCCCGCTCCTGCTTCTCGTGCTTCCTCTTATGGGAGTCCATCTGGGACATGCCCACCACCGTGTGTTTGCACTCGGGGAAGGTGCAGTGGAAGTGCGAGCACTTGAGCTTATATTTGCAGTCAGGGACCTCGCAGTCAGCGCTGGAGCTGAACTGGCAGAAGCCGGCGGCGCTGATCACATCTTGCTTGCCGTGGTGCTTGCGGTGGGCCGTCACCTTGGTGCTGTCGGTGCAGCGGAAGCCGCAGCGCAGACAGTGGAAGTGGGTGCTGTTGCCCGAAAACTGGCAGTCGGGGAAGTTGCAGCTGAGTGAAGATTTGAAGCGCTTGAAGTCGTCCAGGACCAGGTTGTCCACGCGGTCGTGGTGCTGCGCGTGCTTGTACATGTGGGTGCGGCCGCAGAACTTGTAGCCACAGTTCTCGCGAGTGCAGTGGTAGTGGGTCACCTTCAGGGAGAACTGGCAGCCCGAGTCCTTGCAGTTCTCGTACAGGTCGTAGCGGCGGAAGCCCTCCAGCATCATCCCCTCGTCCAGCATCTTGCGCGACGACGCGGTCTTGCGGCGCTTGCCAAACGGGGACATGTCCTCGATGATCCAGAAGCGCTTCTTTGCACCGGTGGCCGTGGGGATGGAGATGGTGTTGCCTAAACGAAAAGAACAAAGAGCATTAAAGAATAATCAGCTGCTTCACAAACTAAAACTCAACAAACTGCAAGCAAGTTACTGTCCTGGTTGAAACTCTAACGTTCAATCCTACTCAGCCAGAAGTGGTTCACAGCTGAGTAAGCACAGAGAGCCACCATTTTTTTTATATTCCTAATTCCCAGAATGATTAAAGGAGGGGGAAAATGATAGATTGACTGTGGAACATGACACTTTTACAGGGTGTCTCCAGCCTCCAAACAGAGGCGGAGCTGTGAGTCTTAACCAACCCTCTTATCTCCATGTTGTTTTATGAGGGGCACCCACCTTTTGCAACACCCTGGGGTCACTGCTAATGATGTGATCCCTGTTCTGCAAGACAGGAAGCAGTGGGCCTCGATAAAACTTGAGGCATGATTAAAATAAGAGGCTGCTGATGCAGCCTTGTTAATGGAAGCTAAACAAGGCCCAGGCTCCATAGAACAGGTGCCAAATTTACTGCTCTAACTGCTAGTAATACTAAAAGAGAAAGTACACACAAAGGTGCAAGTGAAGTAATTACAGATTTTTTTATTTTTTTCTCCTCAGTAAGCATGCACGGTTCATCAGTTCTACTTAAACGTTCTCTTTTTGCATGCTGTAAAGCCTCTTTGGTTTTTTCCATCTTTCCATAACATACTGCTGAAAGGCTGGATCACACAGTTAAATGCTGCACAGGACTCAATAATTGAGAGTGACAGCTGCAGTGTTGGTTTGCGCCGGGGATAAGTACCTGCAGCATCCTGCACTATAGGGACGTCATTTTTAACCGGAGACGGAGTGGCAATGATGGGGCTGAAAGCTGGTGTGTTGGTTGGCATGACAACACTCCGAGTGGCTCCCAGAGAGGCGCTGAGCAGAGAGTATGACAGACAGGATGGAGAGAGGAGGTATGGGAGTGAGGGGAGAGGAGGTCGGAGGAGAGCGGGAGAGAGGGATGGGGCCTGGGACTGGAGGCCAGGCTGAGGAGCGGAGGGAGGAGGTGGCGGTGGCGGTGGAGGAGGGGAAGAAGGAGGAGGTGCATTTTGGGTAGCGCTAGTGTCAGCAGGGGTGGTAGGAGCAGAAGTGGTGGCGGGGCAGCCTTGTCCTGGAGAGACAGGTTGACCAGAGAGGGTGAAGGACAGGCAAGAGGGGGGGAAAAAACACACACAGACGAGGTAGATACACAAAAAACAGGGGGCAGATCACGCGCGCACACACACACACACACACACACACACACACACACACACACACAGAGGGATGGGAGGTAAAAAGGGAAAGATAAAAGATAAGAGAATGATACAAAATGAGGCCCATTCAAGACAAGTAACCCAAACACCAGCCAAAACAACAATGATGAGAGTAGTGGATAAAACTGGCAACACGTGGAAAAATGTGAAAAATCACAGACAGGCTTAGATTCAGAAACAAAATAGAGGAGAATCCATTTATGCAGTAAGTTTGAGGAAAAAAAAAAAAAGACGCTGTTTCTCATTTCCTTTCTCCTTTCTCCCACAATTCAACCCACTAAAAGTGCTAAAGTAGACATAAAGCCACAGGGATGATCTCTGGCCAAAGGAAAATGTAATAAGCTACATACAGCGCAATAACTCAAACCACTGATGTACAAAATGGAGCTTTTATGGGGATGACCAGGCAAACTGCAAAATGTCTTGTCCACGACTCAGAACATAAGAATACAGCATTGTCATCAACCTCACATATTATGACTAATGTGTCTATTGATTGCAAGTCAAACTACTGAATCATGAAATACGTGATTGGAGAATGCATGAAATGACAAGTTGCTGGGTTTCCCGGTTGAAGCGGTGGATTGCGTAAAGCTCGGTGTATGAGATGAGAAAATGTAATGCATTTTTTCAACCCTCTGGACTTAAAGCTCTACATTTTGACCCGCCCAGGCTCCATTTCACATATCCTCACCTGCCGGGGAGCTGTCGTTGCCAACAGGTGTGCTGGTGCAGCTTCGGTCCTGGTTGGAGGACTCGGAGGAGAGGCCTAAGGGGCTGCCTCCTCCTCCCACGTAGTCCATGTAGTCATCAGTCTCATCCATCATGTTGGAGAAGCTGGAGGTGATACCGTGTTGGCCCGCCATGGGCCCGGACACCATCCCGGACGCATGCTGCATCTCATCCGCCCTCTGGCCGAGCGGCATCACCTGGGAACGCAAAAATAACCGTCGTTGTAAAGAAACATCTTTGGGTATAATAGGTGATTAAGGCAGGTGTTGGCTCCTGGCGCACGACCAAGCATTTGTCAAGAAGTGTTTCCGAAAGAATCGACGTCATTATATGAAGGCTACAAAATGGAAAAAAACAACAAACAGAACTTGAAAGTCCACATATTTAAATCCACGCACGGTACACAATGTACTGCAGAGGTTAAGTGAGGAAATGTGTACACTCCTGTGTGAAAAATCTCATCAAAAGAACGTCATGAGTGATTTGTCATTCACTGGTATGACAGGATATGAGCAGCACTCGCTTTTTTACCGAACACTTGTTAGTCTTTCCCTGAATCTGACTCATACTACAGGAAACCCGATGTTAAAACAACAACAACAAAAAGGCGAACAAATGAGGTATACACATCGAAAAGACAAAAAACACACGGTTGTTCTTTAATGTAAAAAAAAAAACATCTAAAAGGCCTTTTACTGCCTAACAGTCGTTTGTATTTTGCCCTCATTTGATATAATTAGAGGATTTTATTAACGTTGTTTGTGCGAAGGGGAACTTTTTTCCGTCATCGTCTATCAGCACAAAACCACAACAAGTGAATCTGTTTGTGAGAAAACTGGCAAATGACAAAACCGGTAACAGAAAGAAGAAAGTACATTCCCTTCTTCTTCTCTCTGCAGACGGGTGCGTGAGATATTTGGCTTTGTTGGAATATGTTTCAATCAACACCTGTTTTGGTTCACCGAGGCGTTCAACTCGTGTTTTCGTGTAATTATCCTTTAAAAAAAAAAAAAAAGGCCCGTGTCGGCGTCGTTCGTACCTGCGACGGGACTCTGTCGAAGTTCTTCCCCAGCATCCGCCTCATGTGTTTGCGTGCGTGCGAGGTCATCTGGTGCTTGAGCAGGAAGGAGAACTGGCAACCCTCGCGGATGCAGTGGAAGTGGCTGTTGACTTGGTTATACTTACAACCTGCAAAGAAAAAAGAAAAAAAAACAGCTGTAAACTCTCCATTTCACAGATTAATTTGTCTCGGGCTCATCATCCAGAAACAGCTCCAGCGATAAACGCAATATTATCAGTGTGACTGTGTTGTGATTAGATCAAACACAAAGTGAAATATTTTTAGGTTTTTCTAATTTCATGATATGGCTCCGACAAAAGAGGGATCGGGTTTCAAAGTGTTTCGGAGTGTACATGTAGGAGGAATATTAGATCACTCTGGTGTCACACTGAGCAAGTCAAGGCTTCTGTGCACTGAACCTGTGGAGCTCTTTTATTACACTGACATGCTTTATTCAATTAGGAATTTACATAAATAAATTCTCATTTTCTGTGGGCCAATAATGCACACACCCCTGCAAACCAAAGTAAATATACAATTATTACCATATTAAATTCATTTTTCAAAGTATCTCCATTGTCATTTTTCCTTTTGTTCTCCATTATACTGCTGTCTGCTTCATATTCTTCTGTTCTTTTCTCGTGTTTTAACCGGTCTGGCTCTAATTGCTTTATGATTTCAAATTAAATGAATGTTCCGTTTTGTGCCTGTTAATCAAATACCATTATATAAAAGCAGGCAGAAATAATTGAAAGAGTAACATGCTGGGCAGGTGCTAGCATGTCAGTAACCATGGCACCCGGTTTAAGAGAAAAACATGTCTGTGTCATCAAATAGCTTTTGCACACACAATGTTTTAAACACGCAAAGTTGAGCAAATAACAGTAACCCCCGTGACACGGAGGCCCTTTTGTGAGACAGAAACCAGGTAACATCATCAGCGGTGTTCAGTTTAATGTTGCTGCCATGGATACTGGCAACCCATCAATTCTTTATGACTGGAGTGCGAGCGATGGTAATCCTTTCTGTTTTTCCCCCAGCCCAAACAATACAGTTGGCAGATCAGGCTGGGGACAAAAAACAGCTGTTTAGGGCCTGGTTTTGTTTGCTTTGTCTCTGCGTTCTGAAAAGCTTGTGTAACCGCCTGAAAAAAACAGATCACTTTTAATTCATTTCTGTGTGATGGCAGCGGTGGCTGTGAGGCGCAGCTTCAGAACACAAACAGGCTAAACCAGACAAGCCAGATAATTAACAAACACAAACCTAATTGCTCATTTCTGACAGGGGCAAAAAGAAAGAAGAAAACAACCTGGATGTGATTGCCCTCTTTGACATTATTGCTCATACAGTACAGTCAAGACTACCTCTGGGACTTGAGGTGCCATTGTGAATATGCAAAATGCCGCAACAAAAAAACCTACGAGGCGGACTTGTTTCATGCCTCCTAAACCGCTCACAATGCACGACACTGTGTTTGCCAACACTGGTCTCTCTCCCTTTGTAAACACGGAGAATATCCTCTTGCAACAGCCAATACAAATCAATCTGCATCTTTCTCAGCGCAACACCTTTAATCCGCATTTCTCCTGGCAAAACATCATCAAAAGCTGACACTGGTGGTTTCTGTGGGGGGTGATCCAGGGAACAAGAGGTAGAGAAGAGAGACGTATACAGAATCAGAAGTGTTTCGTCTTACCCAGCCTGCCACACTCCTCCCTTTTGGTGAAGTATTTGAAGCCGTTGGCGGCACGGCGCTCTGCCTTCTCGTGCTTCTTCACGTGCCACGGCAGCTTGGTGGTGATGTTAGTGACAAAGAAGCAGCCGGGCCGCAGACAGTGATAGTGGCCCCTCATTCTGAACTCGCAGTGCTGCAAGTGGAGACACATAATTTCCAATTTCATGAGTCAAAAGTGGTGAAAGCCAAAGGAGCTGATTAATTTCACTTAATTCGTCTTCGTGTGTTCAAAGTTAAAGTGAGTACCGCACACAGTTTTTTCCGCAAACACAATCAACACCTCAGTCAACACAGTCTGCTTTTTTTTTTCTTCTTTCTTTCTGGTTGTTTGGAACATCCCGCATTTCTAAGTACAATTACTTTGCTTTTCCAGGCTTCCCACAAACACCCCTCCTTTTCTAACATGTCTGTACACCACCATCTGTTTGTGAGGCCCAGATCCCAAAGGACCGGGCCAAATAAGATCTGCTCAGTTCAGGAGATGGAGACTAAGAGGAGGAGGAGGAGGAGGGGAGGCAGGGGAGGAGGAGGAGAAAGGAGGGAGGAGGGGGGACTTTTTGTGAGAGGGGTGATTTTCGACACATTAATGAATTCATTTAAACGGTTTTCCAAATACGGGCTCATGAGAGCAGGCAGGGGCTGCCATTTAGGTTTCATTTGCGAAGCATTCCCCTGATTTTTGCCCTATTCCAGACAGCCTTGTTTACTGTGCAAGTGACAATGATTTATTGGGTAATATCAGCTAAATTGGCCTTTTCTGAGAGGAGAATGCGGCAGTCAAAATGACATCATTGACATATAAACAGGCATTACTGGGGTGAGTCGACTGTCTTTCGCAGCAGAGATGGAAGACAGGGAGCAGTGGTTGTGAAAGCCTTGAGTCAAATAACCTCAAATACTGGTCTAATAGATAGCATACTTCATGCTTAGAAACCTCTGGGAGATGACAGTGGGTGATTCAGCTCCTGGCTGAGTTATCAAAGCCACACTCACCTGGTTGGGACACAGACACTGAAGAGAGTAGTAGGAAAACTGGTCGCGGACGTTGACCAGGTTGTTGTTGGGGTTGATGTGGTCCAAACAGTGGGACTCGGCCTTCCCAGAGGTCTTGCACACGTACTTGCAATTACCAAACAAGCAGTGGAAGTGGAATTTGTTGGAGTACTTGCAGTCGGTGGCCAGACAGGGATCACTGGAAGGATAAAAATGGAAAATACAGCTGAAATAAAAGAGGAAAAGCGACACAGTGCAGAGGATACAATACACAAATGTTTCTCGTACTTTTCCTGGAACTGCAGAAAACCAGGTTTGACTTGTGGCTTAGCGTTCTCCAGAGAGGTGGTGGCCAGAGGGGAGTTGGCCGGCAGGTTGGGCATCGAGGCCGGCATCTGAGGGATGCTGCCGGTCAGCTGCTTCCAGGCCAGCAGGGAGGGAGGAGGGGAGCTGTAGCCACCAGAGGAGGTGAGATGTGCCACATCAATGGAGGGATTGTTGGCCATGGAGACGGGAGCGACGGGCTGCAGGGGCGCTCCCTCGCTGGCGTCCTTTCCTTCACCGAACGAAGGCTCCGACTTCACTTTCAAGGTGGCTCGGAGGTGGAAGCTGAAAAACAAGATGGAAGCTCATTGTTATACCGATCAATAAAGCTAACTAAAATGCAGAAAGTCGAGGTATATTTTCCCGATCATGAACCAGCATGACACTCACTTAGCATGTTTTATGGCCCCATCCACGGTGCTGAAGAGCGCACCACAGTCCTCCACCAGGCAGTGAAAGTGCACTTTCTGAAGGAAGTCGCACTGAGCCTCACAGAAGTCATCTGTGTCAAACCTTAACAAAAACACACACAAGGAAGACTGTACATTTACGGCTTTCAACAGCTGGTTCAACTCCCCGTCTAACAGTAAATGATGTAAGTCGGTCATACTGTAAGTCATTTCAAATTCCTGCAAGACCGGATTCTTTATGTTTCGGGGGTTTCCAGTTGTACAGCACAAGAGGAATAGTATTTACAGAAAAAGACTTTTGAGTGATGGTGCTTTCAAACATTTCTCACTATCAAAATGACTGTCTAAATGAATCGGCTATCTCATGTTTTTTAATACATTCTTCTTCTTTTTTTTTTTCTTTTGTTACCTGCGGAGGTATGTCCTCCAGATCTCAGTGGGTTTTTCTGGCATAGGCCTCTTCAGCACTCTATTCAGATACTGTGCTGCCTCAGAGGTGTCGCTGCCCTGGCCGGCCTCCAGCTCCGTCTTCAGGTTCATGGCATTGAAGAGCGCCGGGTTCACCTGTGACATCTACACAGCACACAGACCACCAGCCGCCGGGTTAGCCGAGCATACGTAAGCCGGGCACTTGCATATGTCAATGCGAGAATGAAAGCACAACCCACACATGATTTGGCAAAGCAAAAAAAAAAAAAGGCAGCCGGATTTACAAACATCCAGGCTTTTGCTTGAGTGCAGGCCAAGTGTTGCTTGCCAAGCGTCCTCTGGGAGCAACTGTTAACCCTTTTATGTGATGTGGTGGCTCGAATCAAACCCCCCCAAAAATCTGACATGACAACAGTCGAGCTGTTTGACATCCTGCTGTTTGAGTTTAATGGCTGCCACTCTGAAGTTAAGCTCTGTAAGGGAAAGGTTAAAAAAGACATTCATGTGTACGTGTGTGGAGGGACAGCACGCAGGCAGAGGGAGGAGGTCCTGATCAATTGGTGGGAGGTAAAAAAAAGAAAAAAAGATGGGAGTCTGATGTGCCATTACGTCATGTATGTGATGGAAACCACCTGGCACATTTGTACCAGTCAGATAAGATATACGACTCGGACAGTGTCCATTTTAATCTTCACAAAAAATATACACAGTTAAATTTCCATACGCTAACATTTAGACTTGTTAAAAAATGAGGGCAGCGCCTTCCTGTTTTTTCTCCTCTGACTTTTTAATCAAATAATTTATAAACTCTATAAATAAATGTAGAGAGAGGCGAGGGGGAGGAAAAAAAAGTATAAAGGAGGAGAAAAAATGGACGGCGAGTTCAAAACAGCTCATCAAAAACCAAACATCTCTATATATCTGGCATGGCACCCAGCTACTGCGTCATTATATTAATTTGTGAGAGGTGCAGTGAAAATTACACTGTATGAAAAATGGCTGGAAAATTTAAATGATACAAACTCATCTTATTAGCGGTGAAACATTAAAAAACAAACAGGCCCCTCTGTGTCCCGCTAATTTGTCTTGGGATGAAAGGCGTTTGATGGATGGATCTTACCTTATTCATAAGCGAGGATAAAAGAGATGTATTCCCTGGTACAGGGTGTCCGTTTGATTCATTACTGGAACAAGGAAAATGAACAATGTTTAGTCAAGATTTGCATGAGAACAGTAAATATTACTATTTATCACGCAAGGTGTGCCTGTATAATGAAGAAGAAAAATGCTGTCTTCTTAAGAAATAAGATGTACTGTGAGTTGGAGGGAAGATTGGAGCTGAAGGTTTATGTAAACATCCTGATCACACAAAAATGGAGAAATAAATTGGGGATTTTATAATTGTATGCACATTTAAATAAATGAGCTATTTCTGATAAACAAATGTGAATATGTGCCAAACGTGTAGAAATCATCTATCACTCAGAGAAACCTTATTTCCTTGTTGATTAATTTCGCAGACGTATTAATTAACACTCCACATTTTGAATTAACCCTTTGTTCACCGTGCGGTTGTGTACCTGTGGTCTTTCTTGCTCAGGTCCAGGCTGTGCTCCTGCGTAGAGTCTAGCGAGGCCCCGGAGTTTGCGTCCAGCGGCTCCTGCTTCACTTGAACCAGACCGAACTGGCTGGCTGAAGCCGGCTGCCCGTTCCCTGAGGATCAAGGCAGAGACGCAGAGGAGAGAAGAGACAACAAAGTTATTGTTGGTCAGCATTATTACGCTATGACGAGATCCAATCTGACTTCTGTCCTGGCCCCGAAAAGAATACTCCGAGTGATAATTATTGCGAAATTATGTCAGGCCGTCAAGCCTTTTAAATGGTGATTGAGAGGCGGGAGATATGAGGGAAAAAGACTCCTTTTTCTGCAGCACTTGTCACAACTCATTTGCCAGGCTGCCTCTTAACTGGTCATTAAGTGAGATGCTAATGCTGAGGGAAAGTGGCAGTCTCAGATTGGCCACCCCCCTCCCTTCCCACCTTCCCAGGCTCCTTGTTGGCCTGACAACGGGCGGCAGCCAATGCCACTGAGCGTACCCACAAGGAGCAGGGGTGCTATGTCGGTCAGATTGGAGCTGACAGCCAATCAGATTGGTTCAAATAGCGTGACCTCTCGATCACATTCTCCTCCAAATAGGTATTCAGCGAATGCTGTGAGTGAGGACAGGAGCCCCGAATTGAAATAAATAAACACCAGGGGACGACCTGAGGTAAAAATGCTGACAGGAAGGTGAATTCTGCCCCCCTTCTCCGATCCCAAGGGATTGAAATATTAATTTGTCCTGGGGCTATACAGAGAAAGCCGCTTTTGGTTGACAATAAGTGGTGGTTTATTTAAAAAAAATATATGTGGGAGTGGGAGGGGTGAGGGCCCCGTAGCCTCTGAGACACTAAAACCGGAGCCTACCAGCAGCCGTGATTGCTTTGGTGAGAAATCTATTGTTTAGGAATCAGGGCTGGTGCTGAGGGATAGTGACAGGCAAGGTCATGGGCAACCAAGTGTGTGCCCTTGGCCCTCAGCCTGGTGAGGATTCTCTCCTTTTTTTTTTCTTGCGAGAGAGAAAACAAGACCAGCCTACGTAAGGGGGGAAACCGAGCAGAGTTCCCCCCTTGCTACAAGATGACCCAGAGACATATCAGGCAGAATAGGAGTGGAAAAGTCAGTCTTGGGCCTTGTCAGCTGAAAGCGAGGAGATGGGGAAGTGTCAGTGTCAGTTCAGTTTGACAATGGCTGAGGTTGGAGGGGCTGGGGGTGGGGCAGGGGTAGGGCTAAAGGAAAACAGCAGTCAAACAATTTTGCGTCTGGTTTGAGGTCACTGAACGCTTACCAAGTCCAGCTTTCCCTCCCCCCCAACTTGATAAGAGTATACCCAAAATTAACTAGCCAGACAAATCCTGCCTTGTCATTGACAATTAAATCAACTCTCAGACGAAATGAGAGCACATTATATCAAAAGCAGCCACTCGCTGTATGATCCACACATGATCACCAAGCCGAGTGAAGCACTCCTTCTCTAAATCAGAGGATAAGTTGACTGTTTAACGTGGATTATAGTGCAAAACTATCTTATTCAGATGCACATCATGAAATAATTTTTTTTCTACCCACTTCCCAAGGAGGGAGAACAAATGAGTTTGACTCAAAGCAGCTTCTTTCTGGAAATTATCCAGGAATAATGTACCACCATGTAATTACTCCGGATAAGATACAGAGCTTGTGAAAGATCATTTGTACTGTGTGTCTAATTAGTAAACCCTTCAGATGCTTGAATCTCTGGGAAAAACACTTAGGGGTAAATTAGAGCGGAACATTAATACAAAAAGAAAAAAAAAAAAAAAGGTACTGAGAAACACCAAAGGCAGAAACAGGAAAAATGCAGAATTTACCGCAAAAGAAGCAAAGTTTCACAACCCGATGAAAAAATAAGCACTGTGAAAAATAGCCACAAACACAGTGTCTTTTCTCACACCTTTTTGACAGAGAAGCAGAAACCACTTCCTCCTCATTTTAGACCCAAATGTCCTGTTCACACATTTTATGAAGCAAATATGAGAAACAAAACCACAGCTAACCCCCCATCCTGTGTCGGTGCTGAACATTTTCGAAAATGTGTGTGACCGAGACAGGGGAGCTTATTTCAAACCATTTTTTTTCTCTTTTTTTTATTTCGTGCAAACAGATCTGAGCTGTAGCCTCTGAATGAAGCCACCGAGAAAGGGGTGGTGAAGGCACCATCTGTGGAGGCCCCACCCTCAGTGGGGGCCCTCCCAGTGTTCAGACTACCTGCTGGAAGCCCAGAGGTGGAGCTCAGCCTGACAGCCTGGGCTCAGCCCGGCTCCCCGGAGCAGCTGCCCCAGCTCTCTCCCAGGGCCTGTCCTGCTCCAGGAGCACCACCAGGAATTCTAATCCTTCCCTGTCCCAACATCCGGAGCCGTCCCATTTAAAATCCACAACCCACCTGCTCGGGCTCAGCGCAGAAAAGACCCCACCGCAAGTGAATGAACGCAAAGACTGTGCTCTGCAGTGCATTATAAATTGAATACTTTAGCTTCATTTTCATTTTCTGAGGCTTTGTTTAGAGCAATATGATAAACATAGACAGGCCAATTACCTCCAAAATTTATGTGAATTATGTTTATGCTAAATAGATATTGACTTGTTTTTGTGGAAACAGAAGGTTTCTAGAAATTCAAAAAATGTGTCTTTGCTGATGCATGCAAGTGTGTCTGAGTTCTTGTATCAGCACAAAAAAAAAAAGCCTGTTTCTTAGCTCTGGTGCATTGAGTCATTTCTGCCTGAGTGATTTCTGTTTTTTTATCAGTTTGCATAGAGGATACGAAAAGGAGGAAAAAAAAGAAAACATTTTTTTTTTGTTCTTGCAATTTCTGAACTTAATTTCATTCCACCTCCATTTGCTTGGAACGGGCGCAGACAGAGATAAGAGACCAATGATGAGGAAACATGTTCAACACAAGCCCCAGGAGCCCCCACTCCGAACATCATAAGAGACTTTTACAGGCTCTACTCTCCCCTGTCAGCGCATTTATCTCCAAATGGATTGTGGGTATCTAACAAACGATCAACACAATAACAAGCCCGGAGCAGAGGACCGTGCCTCCGGTATGTCCCTTTAAGCCTGAAAGCGGCAGTTTTTTTCCGCCTGTCTCTCCGCTGTGGGATAGTTAGAGAAATGACCTCTGAGTGCACTTTCTCTGCTCCGTCCACACAGAAATAAGGATGTAGCTGTTCGTACACATGTAGTATATAATCTTTGGTTATGGCGTAGTTCAAAGGGTTATTGTTTGTCATGTGTTGAGACACTTTTGTCTCCTTTTAACCATAATGAGAAAGCAAAGGTAACCTTTAGCTGCAAACCAAACACGTATCCTTATATATTTAATATATGACCCAAACAATTCTTTTTTTTGACTCTTTGTTTTAGTACAAATTACTATTTCCCAGTATGTGATGGTTGCAGGAATGGCTTCAGTATTTGTGCTGACTGACCTGCTTCTAGGTTGTTGGAGGGCTTCAGGGCAGCAGCCGCCAGTCTGGCCATCATGGGTGATATCAGACCTTTGCTCGCCGAGATCTTCTCCATGATGGAGGAGGTGGCAAAGGAGGTCGGGGTGGACGCCATGGCTCCATCTGCCCCCACTGTGGAGCAGCCTTGGGTCAGTGAGTCGGTGGGCATGGAGTGGGCCCCAGATGACACCGCTGATATCAGGCTAGCGGCTGGTGCAGGCGGCTGGAGAGGCAGCCGGGGCATGAGCGGGAAGAACGGGTTGGAGGTGGCCAGGGCGCTGTTGGACAGGGCGAGGGCCACCGGCATGTTGCTGGGCAGCGCCTGAGACAGCAGGCTGGACATACGCTGGCCCGCGCTGGGCAGCGAGGAGGTGGGCTTGAGGGTGTGGCCTGATGTGGAGGAGGAGGAGACTGCGGTGGTGGGCGTGGCCAACAGGTGGGGTACAGTGGTGGACTGCTGTGTCGTAGGTGAGGCACTCAGGCTGGAGTTCTTGCTGCTGATCGCTGAGAAGTCCATCAGGTCGTCGTTGCTCGACTCCTCCGGCTCGTCCTTCGGTGCAAGGAAGGCGGAGGAGAGGCCCATGACGCCGGAGGAGCGGATGTGCCGACGCTCGTGTTTGCGTTTGTGAGAGGTCATCTGGCTGGTGGAGGTAAAGGTGAAGCCGCAGCCTGAGCGGATACAGTGGAAGTGGTTGGTGGCCTTGCTGTACACGCAGCCTTCGTACTTGCATTCCTCGTACTTGTAGAACTTCTTGAAGCCATCTTTGGCGTATGCATCGTCCTTGATGTGGTAGCTCTTGTGCTTCTCAATGTCACACTTGTTCTTGAAAGTGAATGTGCAGCCTGGCCGCCTGAAACACGAATGGAAAAAAATAAGATTAGGCTTGATTTTCTGTTACAAAGCCTCCTCATTGCCCCACTTTAAAGAGGGTCTTCATGATTCAAATACTTCACAAAGGAGGAATTAGAACTGAGGCGGCTTATTGACACATTACCATTAGCAACCTTTGCCAGAGGGGTACTCTCTTATTTAATATTTTATACACACTTTTTTTTTTACTATGATTCTGTGATATTCAAAATTACTAATGGGAGGCTTTAAGCTGTGATCTCCTTCTGGTGACACATTGATACATACATTTACTTCTAAATAATGCGCTTATAGTCGCTTTTTCTGATGCAGATTTCTTGGCTTTTGTTTTCATGTGAAGTTCTATTATGGAAGCTAAATCACACCACATTAGGATGCTAATTTTTAAACCAATAAAAACATCTGCTTAAAGTAGGTTTCATCAATGTGAAACGATTCTGTGGAGAAACATCCACAACATTCGGTGTATTTACCTGCAGTGGAAGTGTGTAGTCTTCTGCCCATAAAACTGACACCCGACTGTGCCACAGTCCTCAGTGGCGCGAAATCTCTGGAAGCCATCGTTGATCAGCTGAGCGTTCTTTTTATGGAAGTTCTCATGGGTCATGACATCTGAGGTGCTGGTGTACACCTTGCTGCATCCCACCTGCAGAGCACAGACGAGACGTGGCAACTGAAAGCAAGATCTGGGTCCACATGCATGCATGTGAGTTTCAGTTTGCAGAAGTAGCTCGAAAAAAGCCGCGCTTCAAAGAGATCTGAGATACTGTACAAGCTATAGAGAACGGACGCCTATTGTGGTTGAGAAGATGCTAGTGGCCTAGAAATGGGTGGAAGAATGTTGTTTTCGTACATTCACAATTAATTTAGTGGCAATGCGCTGCAGAGCGATACGGGTTTCATGTCAAACTCAGGAACTGGAAACAATCGTGTCACTGCGACAATTGGAAAAATAAAAGAGAAAAAAGTGACTGAAAGAGGCAGTGGTCACAGGAAGCTGAAGTAGCTACAGTACTTTCCTGGCAAAGCAGCTTTAAAGAAAATGAAATTCATATTTGAAGTGTGACGGTGGAGTCATCACAAACTTACTGTAACTCTGAGAACAAATTTCAGAGGTGGAGGGGGCAGAGGAAAGCAGACCAGAGTAAGATGACTGTCTTTAGTCTTTAGTTTAAAATGTCGTACACAGGCGCCCTCAGAGCCAACAAAGAGAGGGAAAAAAACAGGTAATGTTTGAATTAAAAGCAGCAATTGTATATCATCCGTGGCACTTTTCACCCGCACAAACCGGGCAACTTCTCCATATTGAGTCAAACAATGAAAAAAATGCCACTCTGTTTTTTATCCCCCTAAATCAAGAGAGCCGATGCCAACATCTGCAGGTTCTCAGGGACTGTTAAAACAAGGGCTGAAATGTCCTAATAACAATTACGCTGTTAGAGGGGTTTAAAAAAGAATATATCTCAAGCCATCCTCCGCTGTGCCGCTGCCCTGCCGGCAAGAGAGCTCTCGGCGCAATGACACATTGAAAATAAGCAGATGTAAAAAAATTAAACAAATCCAGAAGGGGGAATAATCTTCAACTGGCTGCTTGGTACTAAAAGATGAAAAATGTGTAGTTTATATAAACACCTAACTGAATTTTATCCATGCCAATTAAGGAGCGAGAGAGTGGAGAGGTGGGGAGAAGCACGAGCCGCCTCACATGTATTCACCCTTCTTCATTTTCCTTTTCTTTCATTTACGGCTCTTTAAAGTCACTTTGGTATAAACGGAAAAAGTGTCGAACTGACTCCGTTTCACAAACGCAGGGTAAACTGTGTGGCCTCTCTGGAGTTGTGTATGTCGTGTGATTTAGCCAGATTCAGGTCTAATTTATATCAGTGCAACAGCCTTTTCACCTGTCTTATCCTGCTTTTAAAGCAAATGATGTCACCGCAGAAAAAAAGTTGTTTAAGCACGTTTTCGTCAAATGTTTTCCATGTGTGTGTGCATGTGCCTGCATGCACTTCTACTGTACAGGTTAGTGGGTTTATTGCGGGTGTGTGTGTGTGGGTGGGGGAGGAACTGTGTATAGTGTACCTGCATGCAGTGGTAATGGGTGCTTTTTCCATTGAGGTGGCAGCCATGGTAGTAGACGCTGCAGTCGTCCAGAGGGCTGAATCGCATGAAGCCATGCTGCAGGGAGTTGTCCCTCTTCTTGTGCATGTTGTAGTGCCTGATTACATCCTGCTTACTGGTAAACCTCTGCAAAAAGGGGAGGGGGAAAATGCACGGCAACAGGTTGGTGTTTATTTAAACCAGTCACAGAATCAGCAACAAGTCACTTTATCTCTGTAGAAGCAGCAGCTGCAACATGCAGGAGCCAGTTGGCAGTTGGGGAGGGATGTACACACTGCAATGGAGAGCACCAGTATGTCTTTAAAGATGACTCGTTCTGTAGTTATTGATTTACTTTGCATATCTCAAAGTTGTGTCCTATCCAAATGCAGCACCAGAGGCTCTGGGACTCAGGGAGCTGCAGGAGAAGCTTCCACATGGAACATGAAGTATGTTCCCTACACACCCCTCGTCTCGATGTTTTTCTTTTTTCTTTTTCTTTTTTCTTTCTTCCCCTTCCAGCAAAATGTATTTTTCGAATTAAGATGAATCAATTGACATGCAAGATCACAGTTCTGATGTTTTTTTGCTCTGGAAAAAATTATGTTCCATGCAGATGGTTTCTTAGACATGCACAGGGGAAAACAGAAGACAACAGAAACAAACAAACAAACAAGTCAACCAAAAAACAGTTTCCCTTTCAATTCGCCGAGATATGATTCCGTTTTTAATTAAAGCATTAACACTCGCTTTTGGTGCAGGTTTCGCCTGTAATGATGAGTGAATATGCTAAGAGACCCGCCTTCTAAAATTACAAGCTAAATAAATAAAATAAAATAAAATCCCTCCCACACCCAGGAGTCAGGAAGGGGAAACAGAAAAGTCACTCCACAGAGACCTGCAGCAACCAAATCTGCTGTAATTGGGTTTAAGCTGATGTTACAGAAACTGTAACAGGAGAAGCTTAAATCAATGAGACAGTTCTGTCTTCAATCCATATTTATCTCCAGTTGAGGGAAAAACATCAGAAAGAACTATTCTAAAAAGCAACTAATTGCTGTACAAAGTAGGGTAATTGCTTTGTGTCATGTGTTCCACTTGCACACAAGTAAAAAGCTAAGATCTGACACAGCTGTTCATTCCCCTGCTCTTGGAATGTTTCCCACTGTATATTTCTGAGATGTTAGACTCCTGTAGGAGCACACACTTCATTAGGATTTTTAATCTAATTGATGCATGCTTCTGATTTATCTCTTTTTGAATAAGCTTTGTTTTTTTTTTTTTTCTCCTGAAAAACACAGATCTCTGCGCTTTGAGCTTTCTGGTAATAGTTGATGACGACCGGAAGATAAGTTGAACTGCGGTCATGGTACATTCGATCCATCAAGCCGTCCAAAATAGGCCATGGAGAGAGCTGACTGGGAAAAAGATCTCATTTTCAGTTGAGTGGTGATGAAGGTTGGGAGCCACTTGCTACATTTATTTTAGGATTCCCACTAGTGTGGCAAGATGCACACTCTCCCTCATGTACAAGCCCATGAAAGGAGAATGTTAAGACTCAGCCAATCGCCCGGAGGCTGGCAGTGGGATAATATTCCAGGAGTGTGTGTCATGTAACATTTCATGAGTTATCGCTTTGAAAGGGGCTGCTCATCACTGCCTGCCTGTTTTTTTCAGTGTATTGACATCCCCAGAGCTGGCTTCCAAAGCATATCTGTGTTTCCACGCAACGCGAAAGCAACAGAGAAATGTGGACCTGACCGTGGAAATTGCCATGATAACCTGAACTAACGCTCTAAATAATGACATGAAATGATTTTCCTTTGTATTCCTCCAAGAATGTGTCTCATCAGACTGTGAAGCGGGATTCATGCAGAAAATGAAAGCTTAGATCTGTAATGCTTTTCACCTCATAAACAATATTTATCAAGCAGTAATCTCTCTTGATCAGGAGCAGACAGGAGATTACAGCTGGAGATGGCTTAATTCAGGGAATTGTTAAGAAAAGGGAAGGAAAAAAAACACACACACACACACACAGCTCTCTCTCTGGCTGCGCATGGATTTCATTTTTACATCTTTGACAAATCTTCTCATGTTTGTCTAACTCTCCCTAGCCATATGCCACAGCAAACACAAGGCCTGCATTGTGATCTGCTTTGTGTTTTTGTTTTTTTTTTTTTCTCTCTCTCCTTCCGCTGCCATACATGACGTCTCCTGGGACCGGGGCAAGATTAATAACGTGAGAGTGGATTAAAGGCAGGCCCCTTACAGTGGCAGTGTCTTTAGAAAAAGAAAGAACAAATAGATTAAAAAAAAAAAAAAAAAAGAGCTATATTTCAAGCATACTTACAATTAACCTTTGTAATAAAAGGCCAACTGTCAAAGACCAACTGCGGCCTAAGACGCCTGAAAACCGAACAGATGTAAACACTGCTCGGTAAACCAAAGACCAACAGATTTTTTTTGACGTGCGTTAACTTTAGCTGGGTGTGACCAGCTGTGAAAAGATGACACATTCTCCTGTTTGTCTATCCTGGATTCACCACATCCTTTTTATTGTATCCGGAAAAAAAAGGAGCTTTAAATCACCCCACCTTATGTTAAACAAAGCGGGTTGAGGTGCTCACTAACCAGCAAGGTTAAAATGTACTTCTCTCTTATTTCCCGAGCTGTGAACCGTCAGCATACTGGAGAAATGTCAGTGTGTATTTGCTCAAAAAAGTGATAAAGTACTCACGCTCACCTGGTAGTTACACTCAGGGTCCATGCAGTGATAGTGCTCTCTGTACTGGTAGGCACAGTGCACGTGTCCACAGTGTTGACTTCCGGAGAACCTGCCAAAAAAAAATTTAAATTAAAAAAACCCCAAAACAAAACAAGAAAAAGTTACAGGTACACATTTTAACGGCGACACGCAGCGGTGAACTTAGCCGCTTCAGAGGCTGGAAACACATCAGAGCTCGTGGCACAGAGAACAATCACTGGGATGAAAAAGCGGAATAATGAAGCAGCTCTGAAAGATGTCGGCGCGATTCAGATACCATCAACAGCAAATCAAGAAGGATTAGCGAGAGAAATTAGTTAAAATAGCAGAAACGGAGCGAAATAAAACAGATGAATGAGTTTTGCGCAAGGCGTTACACCGCTCTCACCTTCCACAACTCGCACCTTCAAAACTGACTTCTGCTTTCCACTCTGTTGCGACAATTTACCAGTCTGTCACACCAATTTCAGCCAAATTATCTCCATTTATTTCCAAAGCAGCCGTAAGAGACACTTATTACACTGAAACCCCCTTCCCCATCACACACACATACACGCACAGCCACTAAATCATTGGGAACCCCACGACTACTTTATTTCTCATTGCTGTGAAAGTCACATCAATGCAGAGATCTTTTAGGTTAACCACAGGTTTGCTCCGAGGGGTAAAAGGTCAGTTAGCAGCTAAATCTGCCGGAATCGGGAACTAGGTATTAGTCTGGTGCTAGGTTATAAAAAAAAAAAAAAAGAAAAGAAAAAAGACGGCTACTTGCTACAGTACAGCCACTTTTATGGTGGTGATTATAAGCCTGACGATGATGACTGTTAAAATCCTCCAATTACCAGTGAAAACACACAAATAAACATTTGCACTGCTGCTGCCAAGAACTCCATCTGCTAGTGCAGAGGAGAGGGGGAAAAGGGGGCTAAGTAATATTTTCTTCATCTCTCTTTCTATTTTTTTTTTTTTTTTTTTTTCCCCCCCCTTGTTGGGATTATCCCAGAGCTGCATTTACAGATCACTTTGCTGAGTTCATTAAGTTAATTGAACAGCATATCCACTACTGTTTTTAAGTTGACCGCGTGAGTAAGTCTGGAAAATAGTGACGGAGGTGGAGCTTTAGAAAAAAAAAGCTCTGACGGCTCTGTTGGAAAGTCGGAGCAGAAGTCGAACTGCATATGCGCACAATAAAAGCAACATATGTCCCGACTATTGATGGTTTTCTATACTGTCCTTTCGCACACATAGACGCTCACATTCGCACTGATTAACACACAAAGCCCCCCCACTCCCCCAACGTCCCCCTGAGACTGTGGCCCACCCCTCTGCTCATTGCCCAGCTGTATCACTTTGCCTCTGGACAATTCCCACTTGCCGCGTCAGGGGGCCTAATGGGCCTCTGCTATTCAGCAGCAGATTAAATATTAATATCGCCACGATACAGAGATTGCAGCACATCTCCAGTTACAATAGAGATACACAGATCAAAGTGCCGAGGCAATGGTGGGTGCATGAAAGCATTTAAAGAGTGAAAACTGCAACTAAACACTGCCAGGGAAGCTCTTTAAAACATCAAACTGTGGTGCGGTGAAGAGATGAACAACTTTTTT